CAGCGTTATCCAACGCGCTGTCGAGAGGACGATGCTAGGAGTAACCCTATACACGCAAGTGCAGAGGGGAATCCGGAGTTCCGAACTACGCCAACGATCGAAGATCAGGGACGCTGCCGTTTTCGCCCTCCATGGAAAATTCACCGGCGGCGCGGACGCGTTCGCGTGTTGGTGACGTCACAACGGCGGCGAGGAGCGAGCAAGGGCCAGCTTTGCCACCATTACTTCAATACATTAAGTACTCCGAGCATCTATCGTGCTCTTACTTCACTGTATGATAAGCAAAAGTAAGAAGGTCGAACGCGAAGAATACTTAGCTCGTTCAAGTTACTGACAGTGTACTCTCAGGGATTTTCAGCCTCGAGTTCCTCTAGATTTTCAAAAAATTTAATTCCTAGGGCAAGGATGATACCTGGACATAAACAAATAATTTCGCTCGCGGCACAACTGATTGAACAAATTGGTATAGTGCCAGAAACCCAGCTTATTCAAGCAAAGTGGCAGCGGCGCTGGCCACTGCTCGCCCTTCCTTCGAATCTGCCGCAGCTGCGACGTCATTTTGACGTCACCGGCACGCGCTCGCGTCCGCGCCGCCAGTGAGCTCTTCTCTCCTCCCAGGTGGGCCGGACACGTCATGCGATTTTGCGATGACCGTTGGACCAGAGCGGTTACCGACTGGATCCCTCGGGACGTCAAACGAACACCTGGACGACCGCCGGCCCGATGGTCAGACTTCTTCACGAAAGCTCTGAACGAAAGGAATGAAGGCTTCGTGTCCCTCGAGCGAGGAGGATCCACTGGACCACTCTAGCACGCGACAGGGACGAATGGAGACGTTGCTGGCGCCCGCTCGAGCAAATCGATGATCAACGGGACGACAGGTGATACAGGTGATACCATGACAGCAAGTTGCCGAGTCAAATCCCGTGGAGGTCGGCAAATTTCTATCAGGACCATCCCTCCTACTCTGGATTTATTGAGAGAATCGTTCGCAGAAATGCATGTCCCCCGTTTTCCATCACTCCCGTTACACTTCACAACTACACTGTCATTTTCAAGTGCAGTATCACAACAATTGGATTCCAGAATTAGTGCATTTGCCATAGGGCTAATCACTCATAAGAAAGAGAATGAAGATAATCCTCCGTTTGTTCTGCTGAGGCCATTGATATCATTCAAAAATAATCAAGTGAAGTGCTAAAACTCAGGGACGGCCGACGTTTTCGCATGCTTTTTTCAACCGCCTTAAATGTTGGCTGACTTTCATTTAACCAGTTTAGCTCCGCACACTTCCGCGCGCATGAACCGGAAGGCCTGGGTGAAACAGGCAGCCGGTAAAGCGTTAGGTTCACCGCTAAACATTGAGTTGCTTCGTAAAATGCGTTAGCTGACCGTTCCATAGGCTGCCCATTTTGCAGAAGCTCACCGTCTGATACGCGCAGTGGAGTGCGGAGCTAAAGTGGTGTCTGTAAACAACCACCATGCATCGAATGTCAGTGTAATTTAGCGGTCGAATACTATTTGATGTTATCGTATTTCTCTGAACATCCACCATTTAGGAATTCTGGAGAGCGTAGCGGTTTCATTGTATTTTCGACGGATGATCAGCGCAAATGTAATGCGTTACCTAGAATACGCTTTTGAGTGACCCCTACAAACTTGCGGATATCATTATTATCGCCCCTTATGGCCGTTATCACTTTCTTACCCCACCAAACATGTTCCCGTCCTACCCTCTACATCACTTCTTGGAACCAACGCCTCACTGCTGCTGGGACGCGCGCTATGGATATCGTGAAATTGGCGTTTTGGCGCCTCTTATCGGATCTTATCAGTCGTTATCACTTTGGGTCCCCCACCAAATATGTTCCCGTCCCACCCCTACAACATACTTAAAATACAGCGCTCCACTGTTGCAGCGAAGCGCGCTATGAATTTCGTGACACACACACACACTTAGCGCATTATACAGGGTGGTGTGTGTGTCACGAAATTCATAGCGCACTTCGCTGTAACAGTGGAGCGCTGTACTTTTGAGTATGTTGTAGGAGGTGGACGGGAACATCTTTGGTGGGGGACCCAAAGTGATAACGGCTGATAAGATCCGATAAGAGGCGCCAAAACGCTAATTTCACGATATCCATAGCGCGCGTCCCAGCAGTGGTGAGGCGTTGGTTCTAAGAAAGTGATGTAGAGGGTAGGAGGGGATCATGTTTGGTGAGGGTAAGAAAGTCATAACGGCCAGTAAGGGGCGATAATAATGATATCCGCAAGTTTGTAGGGGTCACTCAAAAGCGTATTCTAGGTAACGCATTACATTTGCGCTGATCATTCTTCGAAAATACAATGAAACCGCCACGCTCTCCAGAATTCCTAAATGGTGGATGTTCAGAGAAATACGATAACGATCAAATAGTATTCGACCGCTAAATTACACTGACATTCGATTCACGGTGGTTGTTTACAGTCACCACTTTAGCTCCGCACTCCACTGCGCGTATTAGACGGTGAACTTGTGCAAAGATGGCAGCCTATGAAATGGTCAGCCAACGCATTTTACGAAGCAACTCAATGCTTAGCGGTAAGCTTAGCGCTTTACCGGCTGCCCTGTTTCACCCAGGCCTTCCGGTTCATGCGCGCGGAAGTGTGCGGAGCTAAACTGGTTAAATGAAAGTCAGCCAACATTAAAGGCGGTTGAAAAAAGCATGCGAAAACGTCGGCCGTCCCTGAGTTTTAGCACTTCACTTGATTATTTTTGAATGATATCAATGGCCTCAGTAGAACAAACGGAGGATTATCTTCATTCTCTTTCTTATGAGTGATTAGCCCTATGGCAAATGCACTAATTCTGGAATCCAATTGTTGTGATACTGCACTTGAAAATGACAGTGTAGTTGTGAAGTGTAACGGGAGTGATGGAAAACGGGGGACATGCATTTCTGCGAACGATTCTCTCAATAAATCCAGAGTAGGAGGGATGGTCCTGATAGAAATTTGCCGACCTCCACGGATTGGACTCGGCCCAACTTGCTCATGGTATCACCTGTATCACCTGTCGTCCCGTTGATCGTCGATTTGCTCGAGCGGGCGCCAGCAACGTCTCCATTCGTCCCTGTCGCGTGCTAGGGTGGTCCAGTGGATCCTCCTTGC